TCTCTGGTGAGAACATGAGCCCTATAGCAAACTAAAAAATAATTATTATAATAAAATTAAATAATTATTTAAATAAATAAAAAATCTCATCTATGAGACATATAGTTATATTTATAAAATTCTACAAAAAATTAAAATATCTCATCTTCATATTTCAGTGCTTATTTGAAAGCAAAAAGGGCTAAACTACATGAGTTTATGAATAAAGGGTCTTCAAAAAGTTTATGGAAAATGCCTATTACAAAAAAAGTATGCCTGGATTTCACATCTTTTTGTACCAAAATAAACTTGTATTTTAATTCTATTTTTTCCATGAACTAAGTCTTCCTGTATGTATATGCACTTTTATATATGGAAAATTCATTTTTACATGGATCAAGAGATAGGTTGTAGCACAGCACACCAAAAACAGTACAGCTTACTAGACATTTTGATGACTCATCATTTTCAGTGAAAATAAAGTATAGCACAAGCAGGGAAACTTCTTTGATATCTTTCTACTTCCTTTTTAAAGATAGCTCATCTACCTCTTCCTTCTATTCTTTATAATTTTTGAAGTTTATTTATTCCTTCAATAAGTGAGACAGAGAGAGGAAGAGATTGAGACAGAGAGAGACAAGACCCCTGACAAGGTCTTATTACCTGTAGCTCCATTGAGCTCTGGATCAGCCTAGATCATGGGCATACGTGTGCTTGGTGTACTCAGGGAGGTCTCAGGAAGCGAGCAAGGAACCTTAACATGTGAGTCATCCTTGTGCAATGCTGTTTTATAGCTGTGCCACCAGCTGGTCCCTCGTGATTTTTTTAAACAAAAGGAAATAAGTACCAAGAAAATGTCATACATTCTAAAAATAACAATTGCAGGCCCAGTTGGGATGGCATAAATGGTAGGGCACCACTATGCAATACTGGAACCACATGGGAAGGTCGTGGGTTCAGATCCCAGGTCAACCTGAAAGTGCCAGCTACACCCATGGGTGCAGCCGTAATCTTGGCTGGCTGGAGGACTGGGGAAACGTCACAGTGCTGCAACACCCTGTTGAGGGTCCATGTCCCCCATCTCACTGTGTCTTCCTCAATCTCTTTCATGAAATAAATTTAAAAAGTATCAGCAACAGTCATAAATGAACATATATGCAGCCCTTCTAAATATAAGTTCTCCCAACCTACAATCAAGTAACGTTCCAAAAATTTGTTAATAGATGAGTTGTCTTGAACTGAGAACGTGGCTTCCCATTAAGAAAATTACAAGAGGGACTGGTCCTGCAACTGGTTAAGAGAGTAGGACCCCATGTGGCCAACTGCAGTTAGAATCCGGGCCTCCACAACTTGGAAAAAAAAGTGTGCTGGGCATGTATATGTGCAGTGCCCAGATCCCAAGAGGATGCAGAAATGGAGAAGGGACTACAATGTGACCACATCCCATGGGGAAGTGCTTTCTCTCCTCCCTACTCCTGCCTATCTTTCTGGTGAGCACACACACTCTCTGATAAAAAAAAAAAAAAGAGGGACCAGCAGATGGCATAATGGTTATGTCACTGGAGTCCCACATAGTTGACCATGATTGATGTCCTAGACCTGGTGGCTTAAAACTCATACTGGGCACATGTACACACATGCCCAAAATCTCAAGAGGAGAATGGAGAAGGGATTGTGCTGTGGCCATCCACCCCCGCCCCGGGGGGTTGATTTCTTGCTTTCTGTCTCTCTGGTGGGTACACATGCCCTATAACAAAAATATCTCTCAAAAACAAACAAAAAAGAAAGAAAAAAAAAAAGAGAAAAATGAAAGTTACAAGAGTAAATGTGCACCAGAAAAAAGATACTGCCCGTGGTGCCAGGCTGTTATCAACAAAACAGGAAAAACAGAGTACACGATATGCCCTGATGGTATGAACAGAAAAAATGCATTCTGTCAGAGTTTGAGGACAGAAATGTGTTTCATTCACTTTTATATCCTCAGTAACTAGAAAAGTGCCTGACGCGTCATCAACAAAGACCATTGCTTATTGACTGATGAAGTGATAAGCAGACCAGGCAGAGGGGCCCATCAATAGGTGGCACTTTCAGCACAGAACAGTTTTGGTACAGGAAGTAAATAGAAAGAGAGAGGCTACAGAGAAGAAATGCACATTGACACAAAATGTCGCATATATAAACTAGTACCAAGTTGGTGCTGGTAACTGAGAAGATGCCTTCGCCTAAATTACAGCTGTTTCCGTTATTCTGTACTGCAAATATACACCATAATTTGGGTTGGTTTTGCTAACAATTAACCATACTATAATTTCCCTGTTAAAACAATGGTTATATGGGATCTTCAGGTTTTTTTTTCCTATGACTCTTGAAAATATTTTAATGTCATTTTTGTGATTATTGTGATTATAAGAGTAGTTTGGAAATAAAAACAGAGAAAAGTATAAACTAGAATTTATCCATAATCCTATCATCCAGAGATAATACCTATTAATTTTTAAGTATTACTTGCCCATCTTTTTGCCATTTGTATATGTTATATATTATGTTATATATAACGGTATATATTTCTTTATATTCTGATTTTCCTCTCAATATTATATTATACTCATGTTAGTAAATGTCTCTGAAATATGATTTTTGATATTCGGTCCACCATTTGGATCATTAATTCACCATTCCCATATTATAGGACAGTTTGACTGTTCATATTTTTTGCTATTACATTATATGTAAATTAATCGCTTCCTAAATGTAAATTATACACTGCTCTTTTAGAGTTCAAAGTGATAACTATGATAATGGTATGATAATAGAGCACTGTAATAAAGTATGGAAGGTTAGATTCCCCTCACCCTCACTACTTTCCCACCAATTCTACTGAACAATTATCAATTTAGGGGACTTTAAAAAATACTAGTAAGGAGGAAGGAATATTAATTTTTCTTCAGTCACTCACTTCTACCTCTGGAACTTTGAGAAAAGTTCCACAAAGATAAGTCTGTGACATGAGAGGGTAAGGATAGCAAATCTATTTTCCTGCTTAGAGCCACTTCTGTTTTCCCATCAGAATAATGAGCCATCAACTTAAATAACACAAGATGTATAGTATACCAAACAACTATACCCATATCAGTGTTTAAACTAGGTTTGTACAGTAAGCAAAATGCTTAGAAAAAATCCACAAAAAGCAAGCTAGAGTAACTAATATTATGCAGTGGGAAACAAAGTAGGTTTTCTTCTACAACCCTGCCATAGTTCCTATTATTTTTTTGAATGAATTAATGAATGTCATATAATCTGCCCCTTCCTTCCTATAGCCTCCCCATTATAGTAAATAATATTCAAGTTGTCAGAAATAGGACAACAGTTCCAGGGACTTAAGAATCAATAACTCTTTAAACCAGTGGTAATTCATGTGGAAAAGTTCAGAACAAATCAGCATCAGCTTCCTGGCTCTCCTGCACAAACAGAAAATTCATGTTGCTTCATCAGCTTTCAACAGGGTGAATTTGTATACATATGTTTATAACTGAGGCCAAAATTTACTGCTTACTCCCAATACAGGACTGATGTCAAGATCAATTAAGTTTCCTAACAAGCCCATTCTTAACAAAATTCCATAGTGAAGTAGGTCTATGTTTAGTCATTCAGAAGAAGAAAATTATGTAACCTGTATTATGTATAATGATGCTACTCTGGACTCCTGCTGTGAGCTACAACTCAAAGATAAATTGTGAAAACAAAGTAAATGTGTAATTCTGCCTAAAACAAAACAAAGTTCCCATAAAAGAAGCCAAATACCATCTTTTATTGTAAGTTCAAGTAGGGTTCAAGTAGCTCAGAAATGTGGTATACTTAAGTTTTCAGAAGCTGAATCCCAGTACTACTATAAACATAAACTGAATAATTTGCCCAAGAGTCCTTACTTATTACTCAATCTTAGGTCCCCCGAGACTACTTTTTACAATAATCTCAAACGTACTATAATAGATTAGTGTAACCTGGGCTACACTGTTTACAGGTGTCTCCACCTCCTTCTCCCAAGGAGAGAAGAGAGTAAGCAGAAAACAGAAATGAGACTACATACACCAAACGAGAGCTTGTAATCTTGTAAGACTGCTGCTTTTACACTTGGGCTATTCTTTCCATTAATGTACAAAATGCTTTAAAGAATACCATATTCACGGAATGATACAATTTCTGCCTCTCACGGGTTTATAGCAGGCTGACACGCGTTCTTCTCCTCAGATAAATGCATGCCTGTTGACTGATGCCTGTCCTGCTGCTACAAACAAGAAATAACTGTCCTGTCAGACAAAAACGTCTCTCTCAGGCTCCAGGCGTAACCATACGTTTGAATTAAAAGCACACTGGAACAACAAAAATCTTCCAGCACATCTGTCATTTAAAAGCACGATAATGAAAAGCTGTCGCTGCGACCCAATTTTAGGTCACAAGTTGTGTGTGTGTGTGTGTGTGTTTTTCTTTCTGTCCTCCCCTAGAAAACGATAAACTTCAAAGGGAATCGTGGTAACCAGGAATCCCGCCCCCTCCCTCCAGAAAAAAAAAAAATAGACTGAAAAAAACTGGCCAAGTTGGACGCTGGCCGGGCTCACGCGGCACCGGCGCCCGTGGGCCAGGGAAGGCTGGGCAGACCACCAGGTGGAAAAGCGGGCCCCGGGGCTCCCCGGCTCCCCTTCCCTCCTGTTTAAAATAACGAGCAGGTGGGATTCCGGGAAGCCACCTCCGACTTACGTAACGGGCTTGTCAAAATCCCAGCTCCAGGACCTGCCCCCTTCCCGCCCCCACCCCAAACAACAACAGCCCCAGGCCAGCTCGGAATAGAAAACCTGGAACGAAAAACCCAGGAGCCCCCCACGCGTCCGACACCGAGGCGCGGGTGCTACTCTTGGCACCGCCGCTCCATCCCGGGCTGGACCGAGCCCGCGGAGGCTGTCACCTCTCCGGGCCGTGACAGCTCCACATGCCCCTGCTGCCCGCGTCTCCGCCCCCGCTCTCACCTCCAGGGCGGCTCCGGCGCAAGCAGCGGGTCGAGCTTGGAGAGCGGCGCCAGATCTCACGCGCGGCGGCGGGACACGAGGGGCTGAATGCCGCGACGCTCTCAGCCCGCTTAGCTCATCCCCAGCCCGGCGCTCCGCCCTGCGCGGCACCCCCGCCCGCCCAGGCCTGCCGTCTCAGTCAGACGGGACTCCCCCTCCCCTCGCGGCCGCAGCTGCCTCCGCCTCCTTCTCTAGCTCCTGCCGCCGCGGCCGCCGCCATCTTGGTAGTGACGTAAGGGGCGGGCATAACGCCTGCGAGCGCCAATCACAAGCCGCGCTTGGCCCCAGGGGCGGAGAGGGCCTGTTTGAGGCGCTTGGGGTCCTAGCGCCGCCGAGCAGGGGCGGGAAAGGGGCGGGGCCTTGTCGTGACGTGTGGTGTGGTTGGGAAAACGCGCTGTGGTTCCCCCTCAGGTCGGGAGATCCCGAGCCCAGGCGGGCGTGGGCGAGGCTTACCACCACTTCTCTTTTCAGCACCTCCAGCCGCAGGGGTGCAGCTGGCAATCTGAGAAGCTGTTTCTTCGTGGCTCCGAGGTAGTCCTGAAACCGCCTGGCCTGATCCCGACACGTGTCTCCACAGCGGCTCTTCCGCCGAGGGCGCTCATTCCCCAGGAAACCCCCTGAGGGGTTAGCAGCCACCGCGTAGGTTTCGTCCTGAGCTAGATAGAAGGTCCGGTAAATCGGGGAATTCAGGGGGTTTCTCTGAAAAGTACATTGATAAAACACCTATGGCTGACTGAAGGAGTGTCGTTTATGTCAAATTAATTGGGTAGGGCCTACTTAAACATGGCTATGGTTCCACCATTAATGGCTGGTGGGCAGATGCCTCTGAAAAATGAAGCTAAGGATTGGCTACCCCCGCAGAGTTCTGAGAGTGAAATTCTTTACCACATGTGTGTGTGAAGTACTCAGCGTCAGGTCTCGGTAAATGTGAGCTATTATTCCGTGGACAGTTGGAAAACTAATTAGGACCTTCCTAAACTGACAAGGGTAGGCTTTCATCTCTTTCTTTCTTTTTTAGAATTATTTTATTTTAACTTTATTTATTTTAATTTGACCAGAGAGAGGGACAGAGTGGGAGAAAGACAGGGAAAGCATAAAACAAACTGCCAGGTCCGGGACTCAAACCTTAGTCAGCCATGTGGGAGTCCAGCGCTCTTAACCACCGTGCCACCTATAGGCCATCATCCCTTTCACTGACCAAGTTTACATCCTTTTTTCCTACCTCCACTTGTTTGAGTCATTCAGTCAGTGGGCATTCACAGAATTCAGACAAAGTGGACATGGTGAGGGAACCAGTATCTCTCTGCCCTCAGGGAGCTGCAGTCTTGTGGGAGAAAGACACAATAAACAAATATTCCATCACATTTTTCAGGGGGAACATGCTATAAAGGTTATGAAAAGAATTTTGGTATAGTAACAGGATGATTTTAGAAATGCATGTGGTCAGGGAACACCCTTCCCAAGGATGAAAAGGAGCCAATAATGTGAGAAAGCCCCTGAGGAATTATTTAAGGCAAAGGAAAGGCTGTGCAAATGATCTGCAGTAGGAAGGGTTTGGTTGTTGGAACTGAGTGGAGTCCATGGGTCTGGAGAACACTTGTGCAAGAAGAGGGCTTAGCTTGAGACTGGAGGCAGTGAGGGTGCAAGGTACTGCAGGATCTTGGAAGACAAGAACTCTGCTGGGTTTTAAACTCATTGCTAGTGCAAGCCCTTAAAAGGTTTAAGTAGAGAATGACTGGTAGGACAAGGGAGCTGGGAAGAGTCATGCTTACAGCATGATGTCTGTATTTATATTTCAAGCAATATATGAACCAAGGAACTGGATTTGAAATAAAAAAAAAAAGAGAAAGAAATTTGAGATTGAGTCTTTTCAACACTAGATTGACCAAATTATACATTCTGATATTCAATTTCCTTCTTGTTCAAAAAGAGTGTGAGCATCACATAAAGTTATACACAGAAATTCACTATTTTCGCTGAAACTTAATATAATTTGTTTCTAAGTGTTTTGTATGTCATGGTAGTATCATGTAGTTGCCTAACCAATGCTGTTTGATAAGTATGGTAACTCTTTTTCTTTTTTTAATTGCAAGTAGTAATTGAAATCAGTTATTCTTACCTATTTTTGCACAATAGGGAAAAGAATATGGATTGGGGTTTGAGTCCTGGACCTGGTGGCTTAAAAGTCACACCAGGCACATGTGCATGTGTGTCCAAAGTCCCAAGAGAATGGAGGAGAAAGATTACGGCATGGCTATCTCGCCTGGAGGTTGATTTCTCACTATTTCCCTGTCACTCTCTGTCTCTCTAGCAAGCACAGATGCCCTATAGCAAAAGAACTCTAAAAACAAACAAACAAACAAAACAGAACCAATTCATTTTTAGCAGTGATAAGCTGTGTTCCATTACCATACAATATGTTCTATGGTCTTGTAAATGTATGCTTCAAAGTGGCCTAGGTGACAATCTGCCTCTTTTTTTTTTATGTACAACTGTTCTAAATGGGTATCTCATTAATGCTATTAATTTTCATTAAAAAATAAACGAGTCCAGCTCTGGGCAGATTTAATCTTAAAAATTATTTCTCAGTGAAGAATGGATCGGAAAAAGGCAAGGGAGAAGGAAGCAAATTTTTGCAACATTTTAAATGATCAAGCATTCCATAAAGTGATGAAGTTCAAAAGATCAAGATTTTGGCTTCAAAACACTTTGAGTCAGTAAAAAATTTTAAAGTATATCCTAGATGTAACATTTTTAACTCCATTAAACAAAAAGCTAAATCTCTACCAGGCTGGACCCTTCTTTCCCAGTGCCACAGTACTTTTATTCCCCAGTGTGAGGGCATGACTACAGGTGGTTGCAGAAAGGTATTATATTGAAGAGTATATAGAGCACAGGGAAATCGGGGGTGGGGGGTGATGGATATGTTCACTCTCTTGATTGTGGTGGGTTCACAGGTATATACACATGTTCAAATTTAACAAGTTGTATACTTTAAATATGTGTAATTCTCTATGCAATTATACATGTTTTTTACCCCATTGGATGTAGATTTAGCACATGCACTCTCTAGAAACAGAGAGAGAGAGAAAGTGAGAAATTACTCCCCAAGGGGTTGGCCACACCATAGTCCCTTCCCTTCCATTCTCCTCCTGGGATTTTGGGCATGCATGTACAGGCACCTGGGATGATTTGAAGCTGCCAGGTCCAGGGATGAAACTTCAATCAACCATATGGGAGTCCAGTGCTTTAACTACTATGCCCTTGCTGGTCCCAACTTTTCAGTGGTTTTCATTGTTGCTAGACCTAACCTACTACTCTTTGAGGAGTAGCTTTAATGTATCAAAATATTTTACCTGCAGCAAAGAGCACTGATTTATTTAAGGGGGGAAAAATCATCTGTGTTATAGTGTACCAATTAAAAAAAGTTTGAAGTTTTTTTTTTAATCAAACTTTTAATCAAACTTCTGAAAAAAAAAAAAGGAAAAAACATTAAAAAGCAGTAAGAAACCAGGACTAGCAGTTGGTATAATGGCTATGTCACTGGACTCCCATGTACTCGACTGTAGTTCGAGGCTTGGACCCAGTGGCTTAAACTCACGCCTGGTGCGTATGTGTGCATGCCCAAGATCCTGAGAGGAGAATGGAGGAGAAGGGATTGCGGCGTGACCATCCCCCTGGGGGGTGATTTCTCACTTTCTGTCTCTCTGTCTGTCTCTGTCTGGCGGGCGAGCCCACGCGCCCTACAGTGAAAACTCTCTCCAAAAAAAAAAAAAGGCAGGGAACCAGCAGTGAGCGTAATGGCTATGTCGCTGGACTCCCACGTAGTCGACTGCGGGTCGTGTCCCGGACCCGGTGGCTTAAAACTCACGCCGGGCGCGTGTGCGTGCGTGCCCAAGATCCCGAGAGGAGAATGGAGGAGAAGGGATTGCGGCGTGACCATCCCCCTGGGGGGTGATTTCTCACTTTCTGTCTCTCTGTCTGTCTCTGTCTGGCGGGCGAGCCCACGCGCCCTACAGTGAAAACTCTCTCCAAAAAAAAAAAAAAAGGCAGTAAGAAAACAATAAGCATTATTTAACTGTGTGCTCTGAAAGTGCCTTTAAGCACCTCTGAGCCCTCAGAGTCATATCATGAGTCCTCTCAACAGCCCAGCATATGTTACCATAGTCACAGTTAAAACAAACCTAGATGTGATTGGGCCAAGGGATCCTAACAATGTAGACATGAGCCAGATAGAAAAATGTGGTTTATAAATGTCAACTTCATGCTATTTCTGAAATTGTGTTGTGTTTTACACCTGGAACTCTATTTCCTAGAAGTTGTTATTGATTTTTTTTATTATTATCATTTTTTAGAGATTTTTTGCCATAGGGTGTATGTGCTCATGAGAGAGAGAGTAAGACAGAGAAAGTGAGAGGGAAAATGAGAAATCACCCCCCCACACACTCAGTGCAATGGCCATGCCTCAATCCCTTCTCCAGTCTCTTCCTGGGATTTTGGTCATGCACACACACATACCCAGCGTGATTTTCAAGCTACCAGGTCCAGGACTTGAACTGTATTTGCCTGTGTGGGAGTCCAGTGACATAACCACTACACCATCTGCTGGCCCCTATAGAGGTTTTTTTTTTTTTTTTTTTTTTTTTTTTTTTTATGAGACTTTTTTTTTTTTTTTTTTGAGAGGTTTTTGCTATAGGGTGCATGTGCTCGCCAGAAAGAGAGAGACAGAGAGACAGAAAGCAAGAAATCACCCCCTAGGAGGGATGGCCATGCCACAATCCCCTCTCCTCCATTCTCCTCTCGGGATCTTGGGCATGCATGCACACGCGCCCGGTGTGAATTTAAGCTGCCAGGTCCAGACTCGTTGACTACATAGGAATCCAGCAACATAGCCATTATGCTAACTGCTGGTCCCACCTATAGAGATTATTTTAAAACACTGTGGTTTGAATGGTACATGATGAAAAAGTATGAAACCATTTAAGGCATTGAAAACTCAAACTATTATACTCTGTAATCCTTTCTAATTGTTAAAGTTATGTACCTTAATTGCTATACTAGAAGTTTCCCATCTTTAAATAAAAACCTGGAGACTTCTATAAAGCAGTTCTTTCTTTTTCATTAAAAATAATTATTTATTTATTATTATATTTTTAGTTTACTGTAGAGCATGTACATTCACCAGAAAGAGAGA